CCTGAACGCAAGAAGTCGCGCTACAGGCCTGGCACCGTAGCTTTGCGCGAGATCAAACGGTACCAGAAGTCGACGGACTTACTGCTTCTGAAGCTGCCCTTTCAGCGACTGGTATGTCTGGCACAGGCAAACACGTCCAATCCTCGCCACTGACATGTCCTTTAGGTGCGAGAAATTGCGCAGAATGTCTCGGGCGAGAACGGACCTACCCAATGGCAGTCACAAGCGCTCGGAGCCCTGCAGGAAGCCACCGAGGCCTTCCTCGTCAGCCTATTCCACGATGCGAATCTGTGCGCCATTCACGCCAAGCGCGTCACAATCCAGCAAAAAGACATACAGCTTGCTCGCCGGCTACGTGCCGCCTGGGGCGCACCTGTTTGACCTCTTTCCATGCCCGGCTCGTTGGTTTGTCATCTCGTCCTGTTACCTCGTCCGTGCTCTTTTGGCATGATTTTTCCTTTTCCCAACGCGGACGTTGCATGTACTCATCATGTATATCCCATCTGTTTGTCTGTTACCGGTCTTGATTAAGGTGGCCGGCGGTGATTGGCGTTCTCTGGAGTACGAGGAGGGAGGGTACCTAGGTCGATGGTGGCCAAGCACCGGGGGGTCATTGTTACGATAGTTTTTTGGGCGCAACTCAACCCTCGCTCTTGGAAGTCTTGCAAATCATATCCAGTGCCAGAGCCAGGATACCATGTGCGCTGACGGTCATTGTCCTGTTCGTTGCTGACGGTTGCATTTGAACAATGGACGGCTGATGGTCAAGAAGCAGTTGGCTACTGGATGCTTCAATCGGCTAATTCAACGTTTAGTGTGTGTACTTTTGCCCCACCATCTGCTCCATGGCGAATGACACGCTTGCAGTCTTTAGACTAACGGGCTAGCAAGCAGCAACTGCGTTGTTTTGGCTTCCGAGATGCGCTTGGAGGCACTCCTCAAATCTCATGTCGTCTCTGACTTGCTCAACAAGTTTCCACAACACAGCGAGGTTCGAGGAGCAATCAGCCACCTTCTTATCGCTCTCCAACCTAGCCACCTTCCCCATCCGCCCGCCTTTTCCAACTCCCCCACCCCACAAGCACGTCAACAAGCTTGCGGGCTATGTCAAGGATCCAAAAAAGCCTTCTTGGCACCCTTGGCCATACAAATTCCCCGCAGGTCTCAACGTCATCTACTGGCTGCCTCAAGTGGTCGTACGGTAGCGGTGAATACACTATGGCCCAGGTAGGAAGCTCGGTCGCGCTTTATACCGCGATTGGATGCTATCCTGAGCGAACCATGGGTACAAAAGAAACCTCTGGCGGCTGCCTTCTCTCATAATGTGTCAAGTCGATTTCACGTATACAAAGACCTTTACCCACAGCCATGGTCAAAATGTTGTCGGCCGCAATGGGTGCGGTTGGGCTCGTAAGCTGGGTCGCCGATGCTCAGTTTCCCCCAACACCCGTTGATGTCACCGTGCTGGATTCGCGGCTAGAAGATGGTGTTAGAATATCGTACAAGGAAGTATGTTGCAATTTGTTATATTTGGGCAAATGGCCCTCTGAGATAAGTAATGACCTCGAAAACAGAACGATCTTTGTGAGACCACTGAAGGCGTCCGAAGCTTCTCAGGCTATGTTCACCTTCCCGCCAATGCCCTTGCCGATCTTGGTGTACGGAACCAGACCTATGAAATCAACACGTTCTTCTGGTTCTTCGAGTCGCGAAAGGACCCTGCGAATGCGCCATTATCGATTTGGATGAACGGTAAGCCTGCTGCAGCCTTCAAAGCTATCTGTGATAGATGCTGATGATGTATTATACAGGTGGCCCAGGCTCGAGTTCGATGTTGGGTTTGCTACGCGAAAATGGACCTTGTTTCATCAATTCAGATTCGAATTCAACCTACCTCAATGAATGGTCTTGGAATAACGAGGTTAACATGCTTTATCTCGATCAACCCGTCCAGGTCGGCTTGAGCTACGACAAGCTGACCAACATCACCACCAACATGGACACTGGAGATCTCGAAATTGCCGACTTCTCCGACGGTGTCCCAGCTCAAAACGCTTCCTTTTACGTCGGCACATATCCTAGCCAGGACTCTAATCTCACCACACGCGGCACCGAGAACTCTGCACGGGCTCTCTGGCATTTTGCGCAGACTTGGTTTCAAGAATTCCCAGAACACAAGCCAAATGACAGTCGCATCTCCATTGCTACGGAGTCTTATGGTGGCCGCTACGGCCCCGCATTTGCAGCTTACTTCCAGGAGCAGAATGAAAGGATAGAGAATGGAACATGGACTGAATCTGGCCAAACGCACCTTCTAAACCTTGACACTTTGTTAATCATCAATGGCTGTATTGATCGCTACGTCCAATGGCCATCATACCCGACAATGGCTTTCAATAACTCATATGGCATCAAGGCCATCAATGAATCTCGACATGAGGAGGTCCTGGACAACCTATACCGCGAAGGAGGCTGTCTCGATCAAATCGAAGACTGTCGCAACCAGAGTCTTGCATTTGATCCTACAAACCAAG